TTTGCCCTTTGGTAAAGTTTTCAACAAAAATTTTACCATTATAATTTCCTTCAACAAGATTAGCTTTGGTACCCAAATCTTGCGTCTCTCTACGTTCGGCCATCTTATTGTCTTCCTTAATTCTAATCCTGATGAGCATATCCTTTAAAGACATTTCTTTCCTTTTATTCTTCAAACTGTTTTAATATTATTTCCAAGCAAGTGGTGGTTTTTCCATAGCAGTAGTTATAATGTGATCCATTTTAAATTCTAAAATTTTTCACAACAAGATGCTTAGCTCCAACATCTTCAGTGGCATATTTCTTTTCTAAGAAATTCCTTAATTCTCTAGCATATTTACACGACTAGTAAACATCATATAAATCTAAAGTCAAGCAATTTAGTATGTAATTTCTGCATATATAATCCCTCTGTTCCCAATTAGTTGAATCTTCTATTTTCATAGTAGTAGGCTTATCAGCAATTGCAGCAACATGTTTATTAGATTTGATCAACCACTTTAAGAGTTGTTAAATAAAATCGTAACTTCATTTGCAATCTCTTAAAATTTCTTCCATCAAATAATTTGGGCTTTTCAAAATACGTAGGAACAGGTGCATCTATTGTAGACATAGCAATTAATTATAAGAAAATTTCACTTAAGAATGTTGGATAATAACTAATTGCAGTAGTTTGCAGAAAATTGAAGAACAGTAAAATGCTAAAAATAAAATTTATCAACTGATCGAGTCTTGTGACAACATGATATTCTAAAGTGACTATTACGGTCTTTGTGTAAAAAATACGGAATATGAAAATTATAATTTTGTTCTTTGTTATCATTTTTCCAAAATCAGATGTGTGTTTCTATAGGCAAATTATATACAACTTCTTCCACCATGATCCAAAAATATTTACAGTTTTTAATGGATTATGGATAATGAGTTGTTAATAGTAGGCTGTTAAAAAACGATCATATTATTTTGGCTAATTTGACTCATTAAATAATTTTGAAAATAATTAAAATAAATAAAAAAAATATTATTTTAATCAAGGAAGCCCAAGAGCCTCTAAAGTCCAATTGAAGACTTTTTAATTAGAGCTATGCTATACTTACAAAAGTGGGTTACAAAGTTTGTTGACAAAATAATATCCACACCAATCATTTTAAAAATAGATTTTTAAATTATTTCAAATCAATGGCCTGAATTTTGTCAATACATTTTGTAACCCAACTTTGTACAAATAGTTTTATTGTTTTAATTATTGTGTGGGATGTAACATAAACCCCCAACCTCTTACACAAATTTCATAGCTTCCACCAATTGGACACTACATCTAAATTAATTCTTTCTTTCACATATTATATTTATTGTATAAATATTTAACAGTTCGAGAGTAGATCCGATCTTCGATTGAGTAACCAGAGGCCATATCTCTAGTCTTGCCTCAACGGTATGTGGATG